GGGACCTTCTGAGCTTTGAAAATCTGATCTCTGCCGAAGGCCACCGGCATGCCAGGGCGGCCAGCTTCCCAGTGCTGTGGGGGAACTGGGAGAGGAGGATCTGCCCCCACAAGCACCGATGCAGGCGCAGCCGCCTCACTCCAACTGCGCCGCAGACCCCTGGGGTGCAAGCACTGCCACGGCTGAGGGCGCCTTTCGGGGCGATCAGCGACCTCAGCAGCTTTTCATCACTGCAGGTTGGCCCACTGCAACGCTCGGGTAGCGCAAAGAGCTAGATTTGCTTCCGCCCTGAGCGCTCACCCATGCCGAGGTGAGCAGGTCTGCACCGTGCCAGCTGGACTGCTTGGCAGGTTTGCCAGTCCCAATGGCCGCGTGTCCTCCACCGGGGGACACAAAGTGCCCCAGGGCCCTTTCGTCCTCGGGGGGGTACCTCCTTGCAAGGCAAGGCAGACGATGCATCCCCGCGACAAGGGCAGCGCAGCGCAAAGGAGGGCTGAGCTGTGCCCCAGCTTTCCTGGGGCTGCGTGCCTCCGCGCTGCTGGCCTCGCACGTCCCAGCGAGGCTCTGCAACGCAAGGTCCCGCATGTCCCTTTTCACTCATTTTCTCCGCTGCTGACTGCATGGATCAGTCAGGTCATTGCCCTGTGCCTCGGTTTAGCCACCTCTAGAGCAAGATTATATTCACCTCTTCAGCAACACTGTGGTTATTTACTTGTAATAACAGATATATCGTCTATACGGATGCAACGCTATTAACTTAGCTATTTGTAAACGTACGTGTATTTTCTAAAGAGATTTCATTTATTTAAAAAAAAAATCTTTAAACGCTCATCTCATAGTAGAGCAGCTCCAATTTTTAAAAGAAGTACAGCGTATTTTGCATATGCATAACTGCGAAGGGGCTGAATAACTTCATGGCCAATAACATTTATAGCTTTGCTTTGTGCGCAGAGATAAGGCTAATGGAACGCGCCGCTCCGGGGCAGGAGCTGTTTGCCGAAAGGGGTCGGGAAGGAATCCAGTCCCCACCCTGCGAGAACCTTACCCGACCGCCTGGGCCCAGGTGCACGCCGGGCTCGGCATGCATCCTCCGAGGAGCGGGGTGCTAGCCACTGCGTAACACCGGATACCAAACCTCATAGCTCACGCCTGCATAGCTGCAAGAGGAGGAGGAAGGGGACAGGGGAGGAACAGCAGGGAAGGCAAATTTTACAAATATTTTTTTTTAAACAGTCGCAGTCGTAAATGAACTCACCCTCACCATGTTTGTGTCACTTGTGTTTGCTGCCTGGGGCTATTTGAGAGCACAAGTTTTCCTGGCATGACTGCGCTTGGAAAATCAGCTTCAAATCCATATATGATAGTATTCATGGAAACCACAATTCTAATTTACATGCACTGATTTCGCTGCCAGAAACCGTGCTCCCATCCAACCAGCGGGTAGAAACGCCGTCCTGTGACTTCCCTGCCCAATCACCACCAACTGATGTACTTCAAAACTCAAATATTTTCCAGGGACTGTTTGTAACCCACAGCTAAAAAAAAAAAAAAATCTCCCCCAAATTCATGTGGGGGCTCAGCATCATGATGGCATTCAAGGAAGTTTCCTTATAGATATCTCCCAAGCCAAAAGTCTCCCTCCCACAGAGAAAAAAGCCAAATCCCTGAGAACTACATCTTTGAGATACACAAGTTCTTAAATATTCTTCATTCCGATTTTTTTTCCCCTTGTTTTCTCAAGTGCTCTATGCCATGATATGGAGGCTTACTCACAGGTTATCAGTGCATAAGAGGGGGGAACCTGCCCCCTTTTAAACCCATTCTTCACCAGCCGAAAAGAGGGCGCGAGTCTCTTTCCTCTGCCCCGGGGTGAGGCAGGGGGCAGGGAAGGGGAGCGGCGGGGGGCCCGCGCGGGCCCGCCGGCTCTCTCCGTGCAATGGAGCAAAGGTTGGGGCGGTGGAGAGAGAACCCTTAATAAAGATAAAATCTATTTCTAATGCCTATAAAAACCAAACCCAAATTCCCAGTTACTTCAACGTGAGCTGTGCAGACGGGGTAATGGCGAAGGGAGTTATTTATTAATAGAAGGGCATTTCAATAGAGATCTGAGGAGGTGATAGGGGCCAAATGGAGGTATTTACAGAAATAATCCTCAGGAGGTTGTGCCCAGCCTGGCCAGGTGTCTTGACACCACCGTGTCCTGAGGACGGCTGTTTCCCATTCCCGAAAAGGGTGTTCTCCAGGAGCTGCAGACTGACGGGCCCTGCCGTGGCTCGACCCGTCTCCGGACCCGGCAGCGGAGCCAGACGGACAACAAGCACGGCAGGGAGACGTCTCCTCAGGGATCCTCTTCTTGCTGGAGCGTTTGCCGGGAAGGGGTGTGATCCCGGCAGCCCCCACCC